AGGGCGAGGCGCCGGCCCGGCGGGGGGTGCCAGCCGCGACCAGGCGCCACGCGCCGCCCGCTGCCGTGGGGGGGCCGTCCTCCAAACCCCGAGGGCTTCCTTAAAAGCATGGGCGCCATCACGTGGCCTCCAGCACCCACCCGCAGCACCCACCTCGAGCAGGGTGGCCATGTGGTGGTGGGCCATGCCCAGCGCTCTCACCACCATCAGCACGCAGGCCAGGCCGCAGTCCCTGCACCCCGGGCCGCGAGGAGGGAGGGTGGGTGGGGTGAGGGGAAGGGCGTGCATTGGGCACGAGGACAGGGCAAGCATTGGGCAGGAAGAGCGGCTGCACAGCAGCCTGAGGTGCGAGGGAGGATGGCGACGGAGGGAGGGCCGGGCGACGGCGCCGAGGCGCGGTGCGCGCGTTCCGGCGGCAGCCAGGATGGTGGGCGGCGAGCAGCGGATGTGGGCGGCGAGCAGCGGGCCCAGCACAAGGGCGGGGGGAGTGAGCAGGGCGGGGTGCCGAGCAGCCACGTCGGCGGCTGGCGCTCGCCCCACCGCGGCGTCAACGCTGCCACTGGAACAAGCCTTTTGCCGCTTCTCTCACCAGTTGTAGGCCTGCTGGAAGTGCGGGACGCGGTGGGAGAAGGCAGCCGGCAGCGGCGCCCCGCCGCCGCCTGACGCTGCCGCCGTCTCTGCTAAAGGGTCCCAGCTGCCGCTGCCCAGCTGCTCCGCATCGCTGCGGCGCTGTCCTGCGCCGCTGGTGGCTTCGCTGCCAGCCAGGTTCCCGTCTGAGGCGGGGCTTTGAGAGTGCTCGGCACCACATCCCATGTGGCCTTGCTAATCCGTTCCAGAGATATTTCACTGGCAAGTAAGCTGCCGGGAAAGGCCTCCGGACCAAAACGGCCATGTGTACCGCCAGCCTGTACTGCGCGCTTGGCGGCGCTGCTCCAGCGCCCCCCGTGCGATGCACGATTCCGGCAGATTGGCACCGCAGCCAGCAACGTCATCGGAGCCGCTCACAAGCGCCTCCCTGCCCGGCTTTCAAAACATCGCTCCCCTGCGCCCCGCAGCTGACGCCTGGGGGAGCGTAGGCGATCGGAGGCGGTCCAATTACCACCATGGCAGGGTTGGAGGCGTTGGTGGCCGGCGATGCCGGGGCCTTTGAGCAGCTCTGCGCCTTGCTGATGAGCTCCCAGAACGAGCAGCGCTCACAGGTGGGCCCCGTCGAATGCCGGGCGATCGAATGTCTGCGGTCGCGGCCATGCCGCCCTGCATGCACGCCGGCCGCCATCCGCGGCGGACTGGCGGCGGTTGCGCTCGGGGCCACGCCTCACGCGCCGTGCTGCTTGCCCCCGCCGCTCCCTGCCTCCGCCGCAGGCCGAGGCGGTGTTTGCGGAGCTGAAGAAGCACCCGGATGCGTGCGCTCAGCAGCTGGTGCGGGCGCTGCGCCACTCCCACAGCCTGGAGGCGCGCGGCCTCTGCGCAGTCCTGCTCCGCAAGGTGCGCCAGCTTGCAGGCTGGGTGCTGGCGCGGGCCCGTTGGGGTCTATGGTTGGCCTGTTTTCCTGCAAAATGATCGGCAGCGACCGGTCGGCGGCCGGGATGCCGGCTGGTGTGCCGTGGTGCAGCTTGCCGGGCTCGCCGGCGCCGCCCGCCCTGCTTTGCCGCAGCCCGCAGCCTGCCTGCCTGCCCGCCTGCGGCCGCCTGACAGCTGCGTGCAACCCTGCGCTGCAACCGCACCCCTGTATCGCGTCCCTGTACCGCGCCGCCGCACCGCAGGTGCTCACCCGCGACGATGCCTCCATCTGGCCGGGCATCTCCCCGCCCGGCAAGGCGGCGGTGAAGCAGGAGATGCTCAACTGCATCAGGGAGGAGCCCATGCGGGCGGTGACCAAGAAGGTGGGCGCTGTGCAGGGGTGGGGTGGTTTGGTTCCTTGGTGCTTGCCCAGCTGCTGGCACAGGTGCCGGCCCAGCGGGGTGCATTCAGGGCGGAGCGGCGGGGGCAGAAACCATGGGGGCGTGTGTGTGGGTGCTGGGTACCACCCTTGTCTGGCGTTGACGGGGTCGGGCTGCGGGGCGAGTTTCCATCAGGAGTGAGCCTTTGGTACCGCTGCCTGCCGACCAACCCACCCGCCCGCCCGTGCCAGGTGTGCGACTGCGTGAGCGAGCTGGCGGCCGGCATCCTTGAGGACCAGGGCTGGCCGGAGCTGCTGCCCTTCATCTTCCAGCTGGTGCAGTCAGGTGCGGTGGTACCGGTACTGGTACCGCCCGTACCGTGCAATTCCACCGGCACCTGCCAGCCGACAGCTGCTGCAGCCGTATGCGGCTGGTGCTGGCTGGCGTTGGAGCTGCCTCCTGCCGCTGCTGCTGCCGCGTGGCTGTGCTGGTGCTTGGTACGGAGCCGCCGCCTGCTGTAGGTGGCGGCTGCCCGACAGCTGTCGCCTGCTGCTCGCACCTGCAGCCTGTACCGCCGGCCCTCTCCCGCCGGCTGCTCCGCCACCTGAGCCTCCCCCCGTGCTGCCGCCCCTGCTGTGCATGCTGCCCACAGGCCAGCCGCGGCTGGTGGAAAGCGCGCTGCTCATCTTCGCGGCCATGGCGCGGTACGTACCGCTGCTGTGCCGCCTCTGTGCCGCTGCTGCTGCTGCTGCTGCTGCGCTGCTCGGGCAACGCCACGTGTGGGCCGGCCTGGCGGTGCTTGCCCAAGCACTGCACGCTGAGGTTTGGCAGGACCAGCTACCCAGTGGGTCCCCACTCTGATATGCCCTGCACCCTGCATGATTGCCCCCCACCACCACCCCGCCCCGCCCTCCTTTCCTCTGCTCCTGCCTGCCTGCAGGTACGTGATGGGTGTGCTGACGCAGTACATGGGCACCCTCAACGGCGTACTGCAGGTGTGTACCGCCCAGGGGCCCGCCATGCCGGCCTGGTGCGGCGGGCGGGGGTGGCCGCGGCACGCCGCCGCCGCTGCCGCTGGGGAGGCGCCGCGGCTGGGGCAGCCGGCTGCCGGCTGCGGCTCTGGCGCATGCCGCCGCGGCGTCCGCGGGCTGCACCCACCTCCCCGCCCTCCCAAGTGTGGGCCTGCCTGTCCTCCCTCTACCACCCATCCCTCCACCTGCCCACTTCCTTCCTCACTTCACTCACTTGTGCGTCCCTCCCTCCCTCCCTGCCTACCTACCTACCTACCTACTCCCGCAGCAATGCCTGGGCGCCGCCGAGACCGAGGTGCGGCTGGCGGCCATTAAGGCCACCTGCGTGTTCATCTCGGAGCTGGAAAGTGCGGAGGACCGCGACAAGTTCCAGGTGGGTGGGTGGGTGGTGTGTGCTGGCAGCGCCCGGTCAAGCACATCGGTGGAGGCACTGGTGGTTGCTCAGGCGCCTGGGGGGTTGGTCAACGTGGACTGGTGGAAGAAGCTGTGGGCACTGGCGTCTTCTGACTACCCCCCCC